TCTGTGTCTAAATCAGCCCTCTCTCTCTCTCTCTCCAGTTTGCTGGTATTCTCTCTTCTGAAAGAGATGTAGCTGAATGTTTGTTTTTGACTGCTGCACTTAAATTCACTGTTGTTTTCTCTCCTTTCTCTATCTCTTCAGGTTGTAGAGCATGGATTGCACCAGGGAAACTCATCCTGTCCCCTCATGTTTCATTAAAACTCCATAAACACACTCAAGACATTGTCTGTTCTTTTTTCCTTGTTGATCTTGAATGTATATGCACAGTGGAAGAGGGTATAACCCTGTTTCTTTTACTTATACTGCGAGAGTGACCCAGTGAGTCATCTAAGTCCACAACTGGACATTCCGTCTTAAGCCTGCATCTACTCTGCTCTTAAAAAAATAATTCCAAAATCCCAATAAGGGTAATGCCTCATTATAAAGCCAATTTAAAGGTCACAAGTGTTGCAAGCTTTTGGAATCTCCAGATCTCTTTATCAAAGGAGAAATATAAAGCAGATGGCAGAAAGTCTTGATTTGGTGATTTACGTCATGGTGTCTGATTTGTTTTAAAATGAAACAGTAAAACAGGCATCTGCAGGCATCTGAATTTCATGTAGTAGATTACAGGATGGTTTCAAGTTGCACCTGCCTAGAACTGTGTAGGATTGCCAGCAGCAACAAACCTTTGATCTTCAAGTTGGTTCTTTGCATTTTGTCTTAACCTTGCAAGTTAATATCCATTTGTGCTTACTTTGCGTAACTTGATTCTGGATTCTGCTTAGTGTTGAGAAAGAAATGGCTTCACACATGCTGTATAAATCTGTGTGGATGGGGGCTGAGATTATCCCAGGCAAAATGCACAGAGTGGGGTAGGCTATCAATAGAGTTTAGCAAAATTACTTTTCTGGACTGCTCATTGAGAGGTGCTCTGTTTGCTGCAGATTTTGGAAGCCACAGTGCAAAACAGTAAGTCTTCTGAGCTCTGGTCATCAAATAGCTACACAAATCCATTGTATACAGAGCCAGTAGATATCTCATTATTGGATGCTGAAAGAAGTGTACACAGTCAAGTGTAGAGCACTGCATTCTTTTTGCGAGTTTGCTCAAGGTGACTTGACTGAATTTTTAAATTCCATGAAGCCATTGTACTTGTACGAGTTGAAAGGTCGGACCTGGCAGTGCATGATGTGTAGGTGCCTGTGGCTGTGGAGGGCGAAAGGGACATAAAAGTCTGAACTATGAAGAGGGCTCAGTCTAATCCAAGAGAGAGTAGTTCTTAATCTCCAAAGATTGAGTGAGGATGGTTTGCTGTCACCATAGCAGCAAAGGCCCGTCCTACTTGTTCCCAAAACAACACTCCTGCCTGCCTTCTCAACCTCTTCTTGCTGAATCACCCTAAGAGGTGAGAAGCTTCATCTTGACATTAAACCCCTAAATCCTCCTCTCCCCTGCTGTGTCTTGTCCTACTGCTGGCTCCTCACTCTTCCTTCCTTTCAAGTATTAAGTTGTCAGCCGGCAGCATCCCATCCTGCCTAGAGGAAAAGAGATTAAAACACCCCCACTTCCTACCAGGAGATGCTTGAGGATTTGTCTTCCAGACCTTTGATCATCTCAGGCAGCTCTTCTCACCATCCTTAGTTTGACAACATCCGTCACTGAACTCTAGTCTTGAGCATCCCCCTGTTCCTGCTTGCTAGCAGGATGCAAATGCAACGGCAGCCTGGGGACAAAGGAGGATCCTCTGTAATATTTTAGGCTGCTTTGTGCATCGCCACAGAACCCTGCGATGCCCATCTGCCTCTGTGTTGCAATATATATATATAGGTCACCTGGTTGGGGGGAGGAGAAGGTTGGGGAGGCAACAGGCTTCCCGGTTCCTCGCCAGCTGTCAGCAAAGAGGTGGCTTTGGGTGTATCTTGTCTTTTTTCTACTTGCTGTCACCTCGAGGGCTGGCTTTCATTTGCGATGAGCAAGGCAGCACCATTGGGATTTCATCTGCCTGGCTGAACAACATCTGGCTCCTTTTTCTGGTTCTTCCCTTGGCTTGTTTTCTTGCAGTCCTAGATAGGCCCATAATAATCCCTGTATCATCTTCATTCTCCTGCATCCTGAGGAAGGTGGTGCTCTCTTTTGGGAATAGACAGGCCCCACTTCAGAGTCCGTTTCTCCTTTTTTCCACGTTGGCCCGTGACCTACTTTGGTACTAATGCCACTGGGCACCTGAGCACCACTTGTGTGACCCACTGCCCTGGAGTATTTGCCTGTGCTGCTGCACACCTGCTGTTCCTGTGAGCCGCCAGGTGTCCCTCCTGCTCATGCGCCCGGTGAAAAATGGATAGGCTGTGGTCTGTGACAAAGGGGGGGAAGTGATGCCACTCACCATTATAGTGCTACTGCCCACAGTTTGTGTGATTCTTGCACATCTTCATAGACACCTGTTTCTGAGAAGAAGTGGCACACCTGTTCTGTAAAAAACAGAAATGTTCTGGATGCATTTTGCAAGTGTGAAAAATAACGCATAGTTGTCCTTTAAAGGAGGTGTAGGCCTGTGTTCACATGAGAGTCACTGTTCTGACTGCCTCCTTGGAGGACTGCAGGGATCTGCTGAGTCTATAGAAGGGGATTACCACTGGTCTGATCTCACCATCGTGTGCAAATACCTGGCAGAATTGCTGCCCTCAGTAGAGACAGAAGAGAAAAGTGTGTGGACCAGAACAACGTCCTTGAGAGAGATTGTAGTCACCATCTATTCTATGGATATTTTTCGCTCACATCTGCTTGTACATTTCTTCCATTTTTCATGCAACACGCTGTGGAAATTAGAATGAAAATACAGTGTATTGGGTGTCAGTACTCTTTAGGGGAAGCAGAGTGAATTTGTTGGCCTTGGTTCAGCGATGGCAAAGTTGTTGTTGCTGCCATCAAATTGACTTTGACTGATGGCAGTCCTGTGAAAGAGAGGCCACTAATTCACCGTTTCAACCACCCAGCTCAGGTCTTGCAGCCTCAGGGCCTTGGCTTCCTTGACTGTCTGAGTCTATCCATCTGGAATGTGGTCTTTCTCTTTTCCTCTCTCTTCTACCTTACCAAGCATTATTGTCTTTTCTAGTAAGTCCCATCTTCTCAAGATTTGTCCAAATACAACAGTCTCAGTTTAGTCACCTTGACTTCTAGGGAGACTTAGGCTTGATTTGCGTTAGGGCTCATTTATTTGTCTTTTTTTGGCAATCCATTACATGCATAGACCTCTTCTCCAGTACCACATCTCAAGTGAGTTGATTTTTTCCCCTATCAGTTTTCTTCACTGTCTAGCTTTCGCAGCCATACATAGATATTGGAAATACAGCCGCAGAGGCATAATGCAAAATAAAGGCTTGTGTGATGTTCCTTTTGCCCTCTCCTTAAAAGAAGGATGTTTGCCTGGCGTTTCCTGAAGACTGACATCACCAAGCATGAACAGTGGTGTGATTTAGCAGTTTTATAACCAAGGAAGTGTTAATTGCCTACATTTGTTCAATCTTTACAAAAAGTTGGATGTTGTTATTTCCATATTACGGGTGAGTTGGGGGAGAGGTAAATTCCTTGTAGTGTGTGGCTAAACCAGGTTTGAGCCATAGATTTTCCCACCTCTCTGAGGTTGAGGGATGCCATCCAGATGTGTTGGACTACAGCTCCCATTATCCCTCATTTACTAGAGTGCATGGCTGACGAGTGAATGAAGTGCATGCTGGGCTAATATATTTCTTCTGATTCCCAGTTAAGAGCTGCCCCCTTCTGAAAATGGGATCTGTTTTGAAAGAGGAATGTGATCACAGGGCATTCTCTGCACCTAAGGATCATGCATGCTTGCAGCTGAAAATTTGGCAGGGAAGCAGCTAAGTAGGAGGGAAGAAGCCTGGATGCAAACCTTTTCAATTTGAATGTCTGCCTTAATCTCAAGACCTTGGGAGGAAAAACAATGCTGCCTGCTCTAGTCTTCTATCCATTTGAATGGGAGTTCAACATTGCTAGGTTCACTTACCTACTTATAGGGAAATGGTTTTGCAGTCTTATGTCCTTCCCTCACAAACCTGGGGGTTTCTAGGTGAGAGGATGTAATATATCTGGTGGAAATTTTTTTGTAAGGAATTCAAGAATGTCGTCTGGGGAGAGGTAGGCAAGGAGATAATCTAGTGATCCCTTCCCCAGATTTCTATAAAGCCAGTAACAAGCTGTTCTGCCCTCCCTTCTTTCCCCTTCATTTGGTGTGATGTAGAACAGAGAAAGTGCCAAAGGAAGCTGGTGTGAAGGAGAAGAGGAGGAGGGGATGGAGAGGAAGAAGCACCTGTGTTTGGATCCTGCTTTGTCTATCCTCTGACTCCGCTGAGAAACAAGGCTGTCCCCCATCCTCCACCGCCG